TGTAGTCTAGGTTGACTTCACTTTAAGGGTATGGAGAATTAGTCTTTGGGATTTTGGTTGGCCAAGAACTAGGGCTTGAATGCTTGCTTTGGTTTCCTTCCTACCTGAGGCTTAGCAGGCCCAGTCTATGGTTAATTAGTACTTTGGGAAGTTTTAATGGGATTTCCACTGCCCATCAAGAATTAGGTGTTGAACCTGGAGGTAAAGGGAAAATAACATTTTATCTGAACTTAATTAGGAATTGTATCTTTTTTAAAATAGCACAAATGAACTTTTTTAAATTATATTTTATGACTTCTGAGTATCTTATTGCATTCTATTACAGATCATGAATCACTGGATTGGCCTGAGTTAGGTGTGACTTAGAATATTAGCAAATTATGATATGATATGGTCCCTCTGATATTTCTGCATCTTGCCAACAAGCATATCAAAGACTGTCAAATACTTTGCATATCCATTATACACTATATGTATGTGTGTGTGTATATATATACATATGTATGTATGTATTAACTACTTTGCTGGAATGCATATGTTTTTTCTCATATAGCACATATATGTGTGTGTGTGTGTATTTGAGTGTGTATGTGTGTACATCTCAAATATTTTGCTAACATATGTATGTGCATATATATGGGTTAGCAAAGTATTTGACAGAAAGTTGTAAAATTCAATCCTGTGACTTTCATTAGTGGAAACTCCTTTCATTGATGAAGATTAGCATGTTTTTTTTTGTAATTTAGAGTCTTTAAGAGTTACCTGGAGCACCAAGAGTTTAAGTGATTTGCTAATGTTCACATACCTACTGTTTGTGTTAGATGGGCCTCAAACCTAAGTCTTCTTAACTCTGAGATCTGGCCTCTATCCACCAAGGAATTCTTGAATGAATAATTGATATATTGGCCAGACATTTCTTTCATATACCAATATAATGATAAAAGAAAAGGATAAAATGATCTGGAAAATGTCATATAGGGACCCATTGAAGAAAATTAGAATATTTAGCTTGCACAAAAGGGGGGAAATAAAGCCTTTATTTTGTATATTTGAAAGTGTGTCATAAAAAAAAAGGAATGAAATGTGTTTTGTTCATTCCCAGAAGTAGAACCAGGCCAGGTGGGTGAAAATTACAGGAAGGCAGATTTTAGCCCAATATAAAAGCTGTTAAAAATGGAGTAAGCTACCTCATGAAGTGGTGGTGAACTTCCTATCTCTTGAAATGTTCATGAAGAGATCTTATATAAACCATATCTGTCAAGAACTATAGCTCTCACACACTATAGCTCATGTATCACACTATATTATTCTTAACTTAGTGAAATAGAAATATCTTCCCCTCATTTTATGGACAAGGAAGGTGAGACTCTAAGAGGATCACAGACAGTGTTGGAATGCCTCCTTGTGGTAATCTAGTCAAACTGCCTCATTTTACACTTGAGGAAACTGAGGCCAAGGGACAGTAACTTGCCTGTATCATACCAGGTAGTAGGTAGTAAAAGTAAGATAGGAAGTCAGGTTCTATGACTTCAAAAGACATCATTCTTTTCCCACTACACAGGGCATAAAAGAAGGAATTTCTTCATTGTGTGGGGATTGGACCAGATGATCCCTTCCAATCCTTAGATTATTATTCAATGCATTTCATGAAACATCTATAAAATGTCTGCAATGTAAGTAGAATTAAGTGGTTAATTAAGATACAATGATAAATAATTCATAAAGCCTGCATTCAAGAAGCTAAAAATCTATGGTTAATTGGAAGACACATACACATAAATGTATATGTGTATATATATTTCTTATATATACAAATAAATGCACATATAGTTGTATATATATGTGTGTATATATATGTACATGTACACACACACACACATATGCACAATGGAGACTGAGATAAATTCAAAGGAGAATTCATGAAAAGGCCTGTGAAAGATGTTAGAGGGAGATCATTTCACCTAGAGGAGGTGGATGATCAAGTTGAAGGTAGTTCCCTCAATTGATGAGTCAATGAATTCTAGTAATTATCATGCCTCAGATGATATTTGCACACATACTGGTGAAATTCAGATCAAGAAAATAAGGACCTATTTTTAGTGCTGGTATTTTAAGGTAAATAAGAAAAACATATTTTCTATATTTCAAAATAGGATTAAATTATACTATATAAATCTAAATTTTATGTCATTGCTAATTACAATACTTCCTATTTAGAAACACATTCATTTCTGAAGATTTTCTTTTTTAAGTCACTGAATAATAAAGGTGATATGCATAGACTGGTTTCTTGCATCTCTATCATCACTGTTAACTGCACAGCTTCAGGGGACTGGCTAACAACTCAGACAATATCTGCAAATCAACAGCAGAGGGCGCAAAGTAAGGAACTCTTCCCTGAACTACTCTTGGTATTTTTATAGGTGATATGAAATATACTTGACCTAAATGTTTTGATTTTCTGAGATTTGTATTAAGGTTTTAAATTTTAATACTAAAAAATCTGATAATCTGTTGTTATGAAATTGTGGCATTTTTCAGTATTTGAAAAAGTGCCTTAAATTCTTAAGATGCATGTCCTGGTTATTCCTATATTTACATATCTCATTTGCTTCAGTAAAAATTAGCTTATTACACTTGAATTAACAATACTCCATAGCTGACTTGAGATCAAATATATTCTATTTAAAAGATTAAGAAGGAATTTCAGAGGTTTCTATAACAACTTAGGATAATGATGTTAGTATAATGGAAATCATTAGATAAAAAAAGTTGCATACTTAAATAATTTTAAAAGGTTACTGAAAATTCAATAATTTAGTAGTTGAGGGACATACTTAATGTATGTTAAAATTATATGTTTATTTTTATTTGGATGATTATGTTACATTTCTCCAAGCACTTTTCTTTTTTTCTGGTTCCTTTTGAATTTATTCATTAATTCATTTTTAATGAAAAAATTTCTATTTCTCAGACAATTACGATTTTCTTTTTAAAGAAAAGCATTTAATTAATTATGACACACATATGCCCTAGGAAATTTTAATATGTAAAAGCTATTTTATATGGAATGCTCACATGATAGAATGACAGATTGCTGGAATTGGAGGGGTCATCTAGTGTACATATTTTACAGAGAGAAATTGAAAAATGTTTTTCAACAAGCTATTGAAAGAAGCTGAAGAGTCTTAAAATAAAGCAAGAAAGAAAGAAAAGAAAAGACAGTAATGACCATGGCAAAAACACAAAAAGGAGGCCTAGCAAAATAAGTTAGCAGTATTTTTAGGATTTTGCCTTTCTTCTTATTATAAAGGCCCATATTTTGTCTTGTAAATTTGATTAAGAAAAGGACTAGCAAGTCCCCAGGGTTGGCTGACTTTTGAAGGAGGGTTAGGCTAAAAAAATTCCTGGTTTAACTGTCCAGGAAGCAAGTGTAGGCATTTCTTGATGAAAGTCCAAAGATCCTTACCTTCACCCAGTGGGAAGAAAAAAGGCTTTTGTTTTTCACCTGAAACATTGTCATTTTAGTTGCAGAATTGCAACTTCGACTTTTTGATTTTCCCTGACAGCCATTCTCCAAACTACCGGGCAAGATCAGAGGGGATATCCCATATCAGCTCACCGTCACGAGTTCTTCACTACCCACGTAATGAGAGTCCTGGGGAAGTTCGACTTATCTCCTGGCTTTCTAGCTAAGGTTCTCTTCACTTTCTTACATGCTCTTCCTCTAATGCACTGTTTCGTCAACCCTCCCCCTTTCATTCTGGGGAGTAAGGTACTTCTAGGAAGGAAGATAGGCTTCTCTCTGGTCCACACTTACAGGTCACCAGGAGGAATCCTGCAGTGAGAGTTGCAAGACAGAAGCCAATATGCGATGTGGTTGGGGTAGTCCGCATCTCATCCTATAAGGGATATGCTTTAAAGAAAGAAAAGACCTGCAGTTATCTCGTATATAAAGTGTTCGAGAGAAGTAGTCCGTCTGGCTTTTTCTTTCCAGTGCGGATCAGACTTTGAAGAAAGGACTTTCTGTTTGTCTAGGACTCTTGCCAGCATAGAGAGTATATTAGAATTTACACCGGGGGAATTTTTAAATTGTGGATTTGGTTGCTGATTCTGAGTCTGACGTCTGAAGAAGGGGACAGCTAAGAACAACAACGACAAATCAGTTTTTTTTTTCCCCCCAAAATTTGTTGTGTTGGACTTTAATCTATCCATTTGTTTGGACATAGACTGGAATATGCACAAATAGATTTAACGCAGCAAAGGTAGAAGGAGGATAGACTAAATACTGCAAACTGCAAGGCGAGGTTTCAAACCGCTGGAACCCTTGCTTTCGAACTGGTACTCGCAGCTTTTGGGATAGCGTTCCCCCCTCCCCCTTTCTTCTCTTCTTTCTCTCTTTTTTAAGCTTTATTGCAGATCCTGTAGACGCTTATTTGCTATGCTTTTGGCGCTGTCCTCGGTTCTGAACCTTCTTGGGGACTTAGTGTGCCTTCAGTGGCAGCTGCTTTGCTAGTGAGAGGGCGGCCGCCACTGTGGAGGCAGAGCTCTTGGACAAGTGCGGTGAAGCCCTGCTTTAGGAGCTGCGTGGGGTGAGCAAAAGGAGGGGTGTGGGGAGAGGCGCGCTCTCGGTGGCTTTGGAGAGTCGCGCACGCGCGCCTGGGACTGCCTGCTTCTCTGTGACTTGTCTGTATGTGTGCGTGTGTGGAAAGAGGGAGAAGAGAACGAGAGCGAACGAGAGAGGGTGAGTGTGTGTGAGTGCATGTGAGTGTGCTGAATGTACCGAGACACCCGGACCACAGCAGCAGCACCACTGAAAACTGCATTCAACCATTTCTTCTGACTTCTGGAGCTGGACAACGATTAGGCTAGCAGCAGCCACCAGCAGTAGCTGTGACAAGGGGCTCCCCTGCCTCCACTTCGAGGTTTTTAGGGGCTTGGTGCTAAATTGGTCTCTCAAAATGCAGAGGATCTAATTTACTGACGGAAAAGGCCAAAGAAAGAGGAGAAAAAGAACAACAACAAAAGAATATTTTGTGGATGCTCTACTTTTCTTGGAAATGCAAAAGATTATGCATATTTCTGTCTTCCTTTCTCCTGTTTTTTGGGGACTGATTTTCGGTGTTTCTTCTAACAGCATACAGATAGGTAGGTAAACCTTAAGATATGTTTTTCAATTGTCCTTTATTCGATGCTAATCTTGGTTCTGGATAGATAATTTGTGTCATGTAGAGTTATGTCATACCTTCACCACATTCCAGATTTTAAATGTCTAGAACATGCATATAGTAACTAGAATGTGGCTATGGGAAAAGGCTATGCCCGTGATACAACAGAGGAAGATGCTCACCCTCCAATTGCACAATGTTCTTACGTGTGCTCGGGTTTTTCAGGGTCTGTATGGTAACGTTTCTGGTGAAAGGAAAAGGAGAATGTCTTTGGGTAGCTACCTTATCGCCTCTGATTCTCATAAATTGCATGACCCCTTTTTCCATAGTTGGGTTGTCTGAGTCCCCACTCCCACCGAGGAATGATGTCTTTATTCTCCCAGTTAGTGGATGAACAGCTCCATCGGAGGGGGTCTACTCTTCTCTCTTCCTGGAACTGACAATGCTCTCTTGTTTCCTGTGTTTGTTCTTTGCAGGGGGGTTATTTCCAAGGGGCGCCGATCAGGAATACAGTGCATTTCGGGTAGGGATGGTTCAGTTTTCCACTTCAGAGTTTAGGCTGACGCCCCACATCGACAATCTGGAGGTAGCCAACAGCTTTGCAGTCACCAATGCTTGTGAGTAATGAATATTCATGTTATTCAAATGAACAAGAAAGAAACTAGCTGGGTGCCAGGAGGAAGTGGGTGGTGGTGGTGGGTGCGCCTGTGTGGTGGGATGACAGGAGTAGGGGGCCCCGCTGGCTGAAGAGTAAAGGGAACTGGAGAGCATGCGTGCGCACTAGGGGTTTGGGGGCGTGGGCAAGGTTGAGGTGGCCTGGGCCTGCCTGCTTTTTCCTAGGGCCTCTAGGTTCCCACTTTCAATCTCAGGCCTTTATACTGGGGTCTCTTCCCTTCACCCCTTTCTCCCTTATTCCACCCTGTCCTTGCAAGTGTCTTTGCCTCACGTGGACAAACTGTTCTCCGAGGGTAAGCAGACTCATGGGATGCTGGACAGATCCAGGAATTGCTCATAGCCAGTCTAGTAGCGGTTTCCTCTCTGGCTCTGGTTCCCGGCTCAACTCCTGCACAGTCAGCTATGGCTCAACGGAACATTCACTATTTCCTTTTCAATGGGACACATTTTTAAAAATGGTTCCGGATGCGCTGGGCTCTGGGTGCGTTACATAACACCTTTTGTAGGGGCCACGGGTGAGCTGTCTACCAGGCAGGTTTTCTCCTCCGTTAGGGAAGCTAGACTTGGTTCCTACCTCAGACTTTGTGATGTGTGCGTGCTATTAGGGTTGGAAACTGATCTCTTTAGAGGTGTCTGGTCCTCGTAAGGCAATTGTGCTTCCAGGCTCTTCTAAAAGAGATTCTTTTGTCCACTCGGCAGCTCTTTGCTAGCTGACTCTGCCTGCTCTGTTCTCAGCTAGCTTTGGGTTGCATCACAGGGCTTCAGCAAAGGAAACGAAATGGAAAGAGATCTGAAAACAATTGGATCCGGTTGAGTTTGAGAAGGAACCGCTGCCTATCAGCCATTTTATTCTTTTCTACAATCTATATTAGCCCCCTGCCACCCTCATTTCCCCTCCCATCTCCCAACAATCTTCGACCCGCGGGGGAGTTCATGGTTGGCTGCCATTAAAATAATGGAAAGACAAAGCAACCGATTTTTAAACTGCATTGGAGCAATCCGCCTCTCTAGCTGCAAATCTCCACTCCCCATCTTTCCCTCCCCCCATCTCACCAAGACCGCAACCCGGAGCTTGGCCCGGGATACCGCTACCAAGAGACTGGCTCTCCCGTTGGCTTCCATAATTTCCTGCTGGGTGGATTGGTCCGTTTTCCCCTAAGTCTTGATTTTTACGCCATTATACCATATTAAATGATGCAAGTGATTTGCCAATGTCCATGCCCTAACTCTTCCCCCACTACACACACACACACACACACACACACACACACACACACACCCGTGTCTAGTATCTAAGAACTAGGTGAACATTTTCACGGGGGGTGGGGCAAGAGTTGAAACGTATCCACATTTCACCAACATCTTTGGGAAGAAGTGAATGAAATTCCATTTCCATCAATCTTGAGTTTACAATCAATAATTTAGGTTGATTTAATAGACTTGAGAGTCATCAGCTCATTTCAAAGCGGGGGGGGGTGGCGAGGGATGGAACGTTGTCATTTGATTGATAAAACAGGGACGGGACTATGATCACAACAGATGCCTGAAATATCAGTGGTTGTGGGGAAAAAATGAGGAAGGAGGTCTTCAGGAGACAATAATGGGAGGAAGACTTATGTCCTTAAAGTGATTTGTAGTTTAGGTCATAGACAGTATAAGAATACTTGCCAGTGTCTGGAGTGGGTGGTGGGTGGGTGAGAAGGCAGTACAGCTATAAAGATGGGGTTGCTGTAATTTTAAGGTAGTATTTTTCTCGAACTCTCAATGACTTGTTTCAAAGCTTTCTCTTAATTTTAAAAATCTTTTCATTAAGTTGCAAGATGCTTTCTTCCCCCACCAACCCCTCCACTCCAAAAAAGATATGTGGTGAGTCTGCTCTATCAGATACTAGAAAGCATTTATCCGATTAAATATGAGTGGGAAACAAGGTTTGAAAAGTAATATATAACAAGAAAAGAACTTTAAGATGGATTTAGTGAAGACCTAGATCTTAAATACAAAGACACTTTAAGAACTTTATAATATGGAAAGGAATATGTTTGAAATCTTTCACTTGATTTGAGAAGTCTGATCAGGGTAGGTTTAATTCAATAACAACTGATGTGGGAAACTTTCCTAAATAACCATGTTTCTTACTGAGACACAAAAGCAAATCTACAGTAGAGAGATACAGTGTTTTTAATTTTGACCTGTATGTATATATGTATGTGTATATGTACATATATAAATGTTTGTATAGAGAGTTTCAGAGTGCCCTACATGTTAAAAAAAAATCTAAATCATACCCAAAACAATTTTTTAAACATTAAAACAAAAATCCTAGAAAAAAATAAATTGTAAGATTATTAGCTGATTGCAAGGAAAGAAGTGATATTCAGAATGTAACTATAAGCAACTGTTAGACATCAAAATTTAAGTATACAAATTGAGACCATATGTATGCCTGGGAAACCTTGTTTGAAAGGGAAAATGAACATTTTTTATGTACCAATCATTTTACTTTACATGAAAACAAATGTGGAGTCATTAATCTGCATCAACAATTCATGCAATTTTCAGAAAAGTTGCAAATGAACTCAAAATGTTTTATAGTTTTCAGATATTACAATTCAGACTAATGATTCTATGATTCCAAAGTTATAAGGAAATTAATCAGATATTTGATGAAGTACAATGTATTATATCCTAATGTAGCTAGTCAAATCTAATGTAAAAACTCATGAGACCTAGGCCTTTCTGTGTGGTTTTAGACAAGTCACTTAGCCATTCTTTGCCCCAGTTTCTCTTTTGTTATAGGAATTAAAACATAAGTGTGAAATAGAAACAATTGACATTGGTTTAACCCTTTGTGTGAACAAAATTGGAATCAAAATGCCTACATTCTAGGCCTTCCCCTTTTATTTTACCTCAGACAAGTAATTTAACTTCTCCAAATCTAATAATAATAGCTCTATTTCTTCAACCATAAAATGGGGATGATTATGTTGCTGTAGTAAAATCAGGATTGTTATAAATTTTAAATCAGTAAAATATATGAAATGCTATGTAAACCATAAAAGCTATATAATTATATGTTATTATTATTGTTTAAGCTTTCTGAGCCTTACATTCTTTACTTGTGAAAATGTGAATACCCATCATTTAATGTTCAACTGGCAGATAAGAAAACTCCCTCTGCTGATGCAGGTGGACATCTCTGCAATTTATTTGAGTATTACCTAGAACACTTAATTGATTTTCATAGGGTGATATAACTTCTATGTGTCAGAGGCAGAACTTGAACCCAGGTCTTCTTGGCTTAAGGTTGACTCTCCATATGCCCTATTATCAAACTCAACTACTAAGGCAATGACTGGAATGGAATGCAAGGTAATATTGAGAAAATTAGATAGGCTTATCACATTGACTTTTGACCCTTTTAATCTTGCCAAAATTCATCAAAACCTCTCACTCCTGTGTGGTTCTTTTCCTAGTTGGCTCAATCTGGAATGAATTAATTTTTGTTCATGATACAGTTGAAGCAGTAGGACTAATAAAGATTCATGCTTTTAACTAACACAATTCCTTTTCCATTTGATTCTAGAAATTGAAGGAATTTTTATTTCTGTTTTCATTTTGAAAATTATATAGTTTGTAAAGCAGTGGATGTTCCCATGGTGTTTAAAAAAAAAAGACAAATCTTCTCATAGTGTTAATTGTATACAATTTCAGGGTCATATGATTTAAAACTAGCAAGGACCATAAAAGTCATCATACCTAATCTCCTTATTTTACAAATGAGAAAACTGAGACCAAGGGAGATGAAGTG